ATCATTTATTATGTTATCATTCAATATGTAATCGATAATTTACTGCACATAATGGTAAAAAATAACAAGAAATTACTTTCCAATTCTATATCGAAAACTGACTTGCGCCTGATGGTTTTTTTCTTAAAATAAAAATAAATAATTAGTAGAAATTACTTCCTACTCATATACGGGGGCAGTAGCGCCTTTTCTCCACCACGAAATTTTTTCCAGATAAAAAATCGAAAACTGTTCTGGGTTTCTTAGTTGTTACTGTAAATTTGTGCATATTTTCATCTTAACACAACGATTCCTGATAAATTGAAGGTTGTTTGAAGGGAACAATAACCATCTTGCTCACTTAAGTATCGCAATTGATACAAATAAGGAAAGACTTACGGAAAGGAAGCAAGTTTGAAAAGTAAAAATTGCAGATAAAATTAAATACGTATTAAACAAATGAAAAAGTCATATAATCAGGATTAACAAAATGTGACAACGCTGCACATAACGTGCTGCGCGTTTAAAAATCCGTTTAGGCTTAGGTACCCCTGACATTTCCGCAAGGAAGAGGAAAAATCCTTACCTTTTTTTAAGCGAAAGTATCAATTTTATAAAATTAGTAATGACGTTAGGTAGTTCTAGTCTAGTTCCCGGTCGTAATTCACAATGACAAATAATCAACGTTACTTTGCTGATTCTTTTGATTTAATATAATGGAAATAGAAAATCTTTAAGAAGAAAATCATGAAGAAAACAAAACAGTAAAGAAAGAGTGAAACAGGACTCCTAGAAAGAAGTAAAAATACATTGTGAGACTACAGAGTTAGAAATGCATACTTCTCAAAATTTTTAGAAAACAATTCTGAAGCGGGTGAAAGTATTCAATATCAGAGTTTAAAAATTATTTTGAACTCACTCTCCTGTTACCTAAATTGCAGCGCACATAATGGCATTCTTTTTTTCTGGAGAGTAAAAGGAAAACATTCTTGGGAACTACATTTATGCGGGGGCAATAGCTTTTCCACCACGTTCTCTTTTTCCATAGGAAGAACGAAACCTGTAACGAGTTTCTGCCATAAACAGCAGAACTAAAGAAAACTTAAAGACTTAAAAAGAGAATGAGAGCCAGACCTAAGAAGGACTTGATGAAAGCATTCACCTTAGGTCACTGAAATTAATTTGCTCTACGGTTAGATTTTGTAATTTGAACCGCGTTACTTAGCCCAATCCTTTGCTTTGATAAAATGGGACTTGAAAATCTAAAGTTCGAATTAAAAGTAGTTGATCAAGAAGCCTGGCCTTTTTTCCCATCTTGATCGCGCAATTACAGAAATCGTGCAATGCAACATATATGTACCGGCACATGCAACACATACACAACAAACATATTAAGCATGTACAAAAAGCATGAAAAAGTCAAGAGTAATAAAAATAAGTAAAAATGAAACTCAAGTACGTGCATGCATTCTGAATAAACCGAAGAGGACCGTGAAAGATAGGAGGAAAAGAGACGGAGCTAAAACGAATAACATTTTCCAGGAGAAAAAAAAATATTCATCTTTTCTCCAAACATAAGACGATCAAGGAATGTTGAAGCTATCCTCTTAAAAGCTTACTTTTGCAACCTCTTCTTTTTTTTAGATGGACTTTCCAGTAAACAAATGGTCCATTTTTTTTATGTATAATTCTTGATTCACCGACCTTCGGAAAAGTCCGTTAAGAAGAGTAAAATTTAAACCAACAAAAAAAAATCTGAAAATCAAAGAATATATTACCGTATTCTGTAAAAAAATAAAACATCGTCATTAGGATAAGAAAGTCACACGTTTTGATACCAAAAATTCTGGATTGATACTATCCCTTAGGATCGAATTTCCTCTTAAATCTCCAATTCTTGGGAGGCAATCTCCTCCAAGAAAAATCATGATCCATCTTGGATCCATTAAAATAATCATTAATTTTCGAACCGACTTTCTTATTGAACTCCGATTTGGCATCATCCGTGTAATTCGTAGTAATGCAGCCTCGCTTTTCCTCACTCCTTTTCTTGAATTTGTAAACTTCGCGACTGGCGGCGTCAATGTTTTGAAAATCTCTGCGCTCACCTTGTTTACCTGAAACGCGTTAACCACGCGTAAGTTCAAGTTCATCGCTTGTTACCGTGAAAATTTTGAACTCGTGTTCGAGTTTTGATGCCTCTATTCTAGTTTCTTGCTGATCAAAATGATCATATTTACCATTTTCTTCAATAGAACTTACGAATTCCGTAGGGAATATTTGTATGTTGTGAAAATCCCCATCCTGAGTTTCACATGCGGCTGGGCTCTCTTCAGATTTGCAAATCTTGAACGTGTCGGGATCTCCACGCTCCCTAACGGGCTCGACACTTCCTTTGTTTAAGCCAATTTTCTCAGAACTATCTGAAACACTGCTCAAAGATGCATTAGACCCAAAATTCGTATCATTAAAATCAGGCAAGGAATGAACCTCTTGCTCAACGTTATTATCTTGTGCAAAAATAACACTCCTTATGTAAATAGGTTCATGATCCACATTATTTGAATCTGAAAAATCATAACCCGATTTGTCCAAAATCACTTCCTTATTACTAAAATTACTCTCTATCTTGTATCTACTTGCTTTCTTGCAATCATTCTTAAAAGAATTTTCGGTTTCTTCAGAAATCGCACGCTTCGGGTCGTGGGCCACTGTTACTCCACGCTCACCAAAATCGCTTTCAGCAAAAGACATATGACACCCATTTTTTACAGGAAATTTGCTTCTAGGATTTTTAGTATCAAAAGTATCACGAGATTTTACTGTACTGTTTGAAGGATCCAAAGCCTCTTTAGAACTGATTGACAATAT